ACAGGTTAACTAACGTGCCCAAATGCCAGCCTTACTGTAGTGAACGTCTGCTCGTATTGAGAGGGTAGTGGAAAGTCCGCACTTCTTGGGTCCTTGCCAGAGCTGGGGACGTCCGTCTGGTTCCACTGTGTCCAGAGAGTCCTCTTGGTTCCGAAAGTCCGTTTCGGGAGGAAAAGTCTCTGACTGTCGATGTGCCGGTTCACACGAATACCGTTAGAAGGAATCCTGTCGCTTCTAAACTTTTCAATAACTGCTTTGGTCGCAGCGCTACGTTACAGTCAAACAATTTGACATGTTACGATTTTTACCATTATACTTAAATAAACAGGTGAGTGACATTCCACATGAGAATGGACATTTTTGCTATTACACAAGGTAATGCTAGTTATACAGTTATTGCACATATACAGTTTTAGTATGGTGTATTGATGACTACATACCCTGATCACTTCCCTCTGTATCTGTCTCTGGTCTCTCTGTCCTCCTGTCACCTCCTTCATCTTGAAAAGGTGATTTCTCACGGCAGCTAGGAGCACACACAGGGAACAAGTGGAGCAAATCCGCTTTCTTCTCGTTCTCCAAACCAGCAGACAGTTGGCAGGTATGTCCATCACTTGATATGGTCACATATGTTTATTATTAAAAAACTATTTCACATGGTGTTTAATGACAACATGAGACACGTGTATCTGTCTTTCTTGCCTGCAGTATGTGGTTTATAGACCTGGCAGGAAGTGAAAGGGCATCAGACACCAAAAAAACAAACAGACACAGTCGCATAGAAGGAGCTGAGATCAACCAAAGTCTCTTAGCAGTAAGCTAAGTAAGTGATATGTTAACACACACAAAGAGCTCAAATACAGAAACAAAGGTCATTGTATTTACCTTTTATTTGTTTAAAGCTCAAAGAATTGTAGGTGCAATGGGTCGAGTGCTGCTTAGGAGCACTCGGTGTTATCAACCAGTCTCAAATTAATAACACAACCAGTCTCATTAAAGTTATCTTTAATTATTATTTTAACCTACTAATATAGCAATAATGTATTACTTTAAGTATTACAAATATACTAAAATCAATAGTATCCAATAACAATTAAATATCTGAAGGATTTTGAGAGTTCTTGGCAAATTGGGTGGCTTCAATGAATAAAGTAACAACACAGACAAATACAGTTTACAAAAATAATCAAATTTATTTATACAACACTGTCAAGTTAATGACGGTGATTGAACTCATAAACAATGATCATTATAACAAAACAAGGCGTGTGTGTAGGGGTGTGTGTGTACTTATGTGCGTGTGTACACGAGCGGTCGTGTACGAGAGAGAAAGAGAGAGAGAGATGTTGCCTCTCAGCTACCAAGCAAGCGACTGAGCCCTTGAGGCGTGTTCACATACGCGACTGCGCAGTGGAAGAAGAACTGCGAGGTAGAAGGAACGGCAACAGGAAACACGTGAGCCGTGTATGCGCTCACGGAGGTGTGAATGGGTGTTGTGTACGCGCACCAAGATGCGCTCAGGTACAATGAAACAGTGCTTGTGATGTTATCAAAGTATATGGGGGAAGGGAGGCGTACCGCGTGGTCTACTCCAGACAAAGGACTTTGTCGGAGTTTTCCTGATCCCAATACTGATAACGTTCCAAGTTAACACTGAAATACTGACGGTGTACAAGAGTATAACACCGAGTCAGGAGGTTAGAAAAGAAGTGCATGCAACAGCCTAGCTATAAAAGCAGCACAGATTTCAGACAACAAAATTCAATATGCGTACTTAAACTGTTCCTCAGTTTAAATAGCACTTAACAATACTACAGGTTAACTAACGTGCCCAAATGCCAGCCTTACTGTAGTGAACGTCTGCTCGTATTGAGAGGGTAGTGGAAAGTCCGCACTTCTTGGGTCCTTGCCAGAGCTGGGGACGTCCGTCTGGTTCCACTGTGTCCAGAGAGTCCTCTTGGTTCCGAAAGTCCGTTTCGGGAGGAAAAGTCTCTGACTGTCGATGTGCCGGTTCACACGAATACCGTTAGAAGGAATCCTGTCGCTTCTAAACTTTTCAATAACTGCTTTGGTCGCAGCGCTACGTTACTTGTGTAACTTAATTACCGGTTAACTCAGTTAAGAAAAAGACGCTACTAGTGCATTTATCACCGTGGGCAATGGTGTCTACAAAAGCGCGTTGGTTCTTAGTCTTCTGAGACGAGCAGGTTTCTCTTATCATCAGGGTCCTACGGAGCGAAAGTCCTGAACAGTAGGGGTGGGCGGATCGATCCAAATATCGATATTATCGATACTAAGCAAGTACCTGGATCGGATCGATACTGTTGTCCTGGGATCGATACTTCGCTCCTCCACCAATTTCCTCAAAGCACCGATTCTCTGCGCAAATAGCGCAGCCCCCTCTCTCTCTCGCCCAGCGCCCCCTGCTACTCTCTGAGTCTCTGCCTGAGTGAGTGACTCAGGCACACTTTTAGCCCCTCCCCCTACCTGGCCACTGGCCTGCTGCATCCTGCCTGCCAGGAAGAGAGGGCGACGGGAGAGTGAGAGCAGCCGGAACCTAAAGCAATGGCAGAGCCAAACAAGAAGCGGAGCGCGGTGTGGACTTTTTTTACAACAACAGAAAAACACAGTGCCAAGTGTGATTTGTGTAATAAAGTGGTCCGCTACTGTGGTAACACCACGAATTTACACAAACATATGAAAAAAGCTCACCCTACAGAGAGCAACGAGCGGCAAGCAAAGAAGTTGAGGGAGGAGGGGGGGGATCCCCAAGCCAGAACACCCCCGCGGACACAGAGACAATGTACTCTGGCAGATGCTTTTCAGCCAAAAAATCAACAATACCCAGGTCAGGGTTATAAACAAACAAACTTCGCAAAAGTTTTGGTTGTCTGCTTCGCACCAGCTTTTTACGGGTAATTTTAGTACGCAGCAATAATTAAACAAGTTCTCGATGTAACAGAATTGGCATCAAACCATTTTTTTTCCTAATTAGTCAATTAAATTGAAGAATAGCTGCAGCCCTAGTTTTATTGGAACCCAAAAATATAGCTACCCATATAAAGATAGGCTCTATACCTCAAACCTGAAATATGAATATTACTGACTATAATAACTCTTTAGTGTTAACTGTTGAAGGAAAAGTAGCATTCCTATTTAGGCTATTTTCAGATTACAGTTACAGACTTAATCATTTTGTCATTTCACCTAGATAATTCACAAAGAGCCAAGGACATCACAAAGAGTATTGCCATGATGATCGTGAAGGACCTACAACCCCTCTCTGTGGTTGAACAGGAGGGTTTCAAGAATTTAATAAAGACACTTGATCCCCGCTACAGGATGCCAAGTAGGAAATTTTTCATGGGAGAAAAAATACCTTCATTGTATGAAGAGTGTTGTTCTAAAGTTAAAAGGTGTCTGGATGCTGCTCACAGCGTTGTACTGACCACTGACATGACTAAGCATCCACTTATTTATAAAGCAAAGACAGTGGCTCGTTACAATTACGGGCTACCACAGAGTTCTACTGCTGCAAAAAAAATTTTAGTGATAGTGGTTTGTGTTGTCATGGGGGTGGATTGGGGTGTAAGAAAATATTGATACACTGAAATATCTTAATGTATTATTTCACAATAGTGTATTGATATTCTACATCACTGTATCTTTTTTTTATAATTAATAGTTAACATGAAAATATTCTTGGTGTTGGTTCATTTCATTTTTGCTTTTATTCCTTTTGTAGTGATTACAAATGTAGCGCCGATGCTCTTATTTACACTTAAACATCAAGAACATATTTACTATTTACATATTATTACTGTAAACAAAAATAGGCCAGGATTCAATGCAAATGCTTTATCATGTTTTTAGGATTAAGATTAAGATTTCCTTTATTGGACCCACAGTGGAGAAATTGACAGTGTTGACAGCAGCAAAGTACAATATGCGGTATAAAGAGTGAAGTCTAGCATAGTGCTTTACAAATAAGATATCAGCTTGCAATTTTGTAGTTTTCCAGTTTACAGGTATAGTTACTTTGAGATATTGCAATTGAGATAATAAATCAATTAATTATAGAAGATAATAATACAGAGAAACAAAGACTGTACATAATGACAGTCAAACAATTTGACATGTTACGATTTTTACCATTATACTTAAATAAACAGGTGAGTGACATTCCACATGAGAATGGACATTTTTGCTATTACACAAGGTAATGCTAGTTATACAGTTATTGCACATATACAGTTTTAGTATGGTGTATTGATGACTACATACCCTGATCACTTCCCTCTGTATCTGTCTCTGGTCTCTCTGTCCTACTGTCACCTCCTTCATCTTGAAAAGGTGATTTCTCACGGCAGCTAGGAGCACACACAGGGAACAAGTGGAGCAAATCCGCTTTCTTCTCGTTCTCCAAACCAGCAGACAGTTGGCAGGTATGTCCATCACTTGATATGGTCACATATGTTTATTATTGTAACAGAATTGGCATCAAACAACCAGCTTTTTACGGGTAATTTTAGTACGCAGCAATAATTAAACAAGTTCTCGATGTAACAGAATTGGCATCAAACCATTTTTTTTCCTAATTAGTCAATTAAATTGAAGAATAGCTGCAGCCCTAGTTTTATTGGAACCCAAAAATATAGCTACCCATATAAAGATAGGCTCTATACCTCAAACCTGAAATATGAATATTACTGACTATAATAACTCTTTAGTGTTAACTGTTGAAGGAAAAGTAGCATTCCTATTTAGGCTATTTTCAGATTACAGTTACAGACTTAATCATTTTGTCATTTCACCTAGATAATTCACAAAGAGCCAAGGACATCACAAAGAGTATTGCCATGATGATCGTGAAGGACCTACAACCCCTCTCTGTGGTTGAACAGGAGGGTTTCAAGAATTTAATAAAGACACTTGATCCCCGCTACAGGATGCCAAGTAGGAAATTTTTCATGGGAGAAAAAATACCTTCATTGTATGAAGAGTGTTGTTCTAAAGTTAAAAGGTGTCTGGATGCTGCTCACAGCGTTGTACTGACCACTGACATGACTAAGCATCCACTTATTTATAAAGCAAAGACAGTGGCTCGTTACAATTACGGGCTACCACAGAGTTCTACTGCTGCAAAAAAAATTTTAGTGATAGTGGTTTGTGTTGTCATGGGGGTGGATTGGGGTGTAAGAAAATATTGATACACTGAAATATCTTAATGTATTATTTCACAATAGTGTATTGATATTCTACATCACTGTATCTTTTTTTTATAATTAATAGTTAACATGAAAATATTCTTGGTGTTGGTTCATTTCATTTTTGCTTTTATTCCTTTTGTAGTGATTACAAATGTAGCGCCGATGCTCTTATTTACACTTAAACATCAAGAACATATTTACTATTTACATATTATTACTGTAAACAAAAATAGGCCAGGATTCAATGCAAATGCTTTATCATGTTTTTAGGATTAAGATTAAGATTTCCTTTATTGGACCCACAGTGGAGAAATTGACAGTGTTGACAGCAGCAAAGTACAATATGCGGTATAAAGAGTGAAGTCTAGCATAGTGCTTTACAAATAAGATATCAGCTTGCAATTTTGTAGTTTTCCAGTTTACAGGTATAGTTACTTTGAGATATTGCAATTGAGATAATAAATCAATTAATTATAGAAGATAATAATACAGAGAAACAAAGACTGTACATAATGACAGTCAAACAATTTGACATGTTACGATTTTTACCATTATACTTAAATAAACAGGTGAGTGACATTCCACATGAGAATGGACATTTTTGCTATTACACAAGGTAATGCTAGTTATACAGTTATTGCACATATACAGTTTTAGTATGGTGTATTGATGACTACATACCCTGATCACTTCCCTCTGTATCTGTCTCTGGTCTCTCTGTCCTACTGTCACCTCCTTCATCTTGAAAAGGTGATTTCTCACGGCAGCTAGGAGCACACACAGGGAACAAGTGGAGCAAATCCGCTTTCTTCTCGTTCTCCAAACCAGCAGACAGTTGGCAGGTATGTCCATCACTTGATATGGTCACATATGTTTATTATTAAAAAACTATTTCACATGGTGTTTAATGACAACATGAGACACGTGTATCTGTCTTTCTTGCCTGCAGTATGTGGTTTATAGACCTGGCAGGAAGTGAAAGGGCATCAGACACCAAAAAAACAAACAGACACAGTCGCATAGAAGGAGCTGAGATCAACCAAAGTCTCTTAGCAGTAAGCTAAGTAAGTGATATGTTAACACACACAAAGAGCTCAAATACAGAAACAAAGGTCATTGTATTTACCTTTTATTTGTTTAAAGCTCAAAGAATTGTAGGTGCAATGGGTCGAGTGCTGCTTAGGAGCACTCGGTGTTATCAACCAGTCTCAAATTAATAACACAACCAGTCTCATTAAAGTTATCTTTAATTATTATTTTAACCTACTAATATAGCAATAATGTATTACTTTAAGTATTACAAATATACTAAAATCAATAGTATCCAATAACAATTAAATATCTGAAGGATTTTGAGAGTTCTTGGCAAATTGGGTGGCTTCAATGAATAAAGTAACAACACAGACAAATACAGTTTACAAAAATAATCAAATTTATTTATACAACACTGTCAAGTTAATGACGGTGATTGAACTCATAAACAATGATCATTATAACAAAACAAGGCGTGTGTGTAGGGGTGTGTGTGTACTTATGTGCGTGTGTACACGAGCGGTCGTGTACGAGAGAGAAAGAGAGAGAGAGATGTTGCCTCTCAGCTACCAAGCAAGCGACTGAGCCCTTGAGGCGTGTTCACATACGCGACTGCGCAGTGGAAGAAGAACTGCGAGGTAGAAGGAACGGCAACAGGAAACACGTGAGGCGTGTATGCGCTCACGGAGGTGTGAATGGGTGTTGTGTACGCGCACCAAGATGCGCTCAGGTACAATGAAACAGTGCTTGTGATGTTATCAAAGTATATGGGGGAAGGGAGGCGTACCGCGTGGTCTACTCCAGACAAAGGACTTTGTCGGAGTTTTCCTGATCCCAATACTGATAACGTTCCAAGTTAACACTGAAATACTGACGGTGTACAAGAGTATAACACCGAGTCAGGAGGTTAGAAAAGAAGTGCATGCAACAGCCTAGCTATAAAAGCAGCACAGATTTCAGACAACAAAATTCAATATGCGTACTTAAACTGTTCCTCAGTTTAAATAGCACTTAACAATACTACAGGTTAACTAACGTGCCCAAATGCCAGCCTTACTGTAGTGAACGTCTGCTCGTATTGAGAGGGTAGTGGAAAGTCCGCACTTCTTGGGTCCTTGCCAGAGCTGGGGACGTCCGTCTGGTTCCACTGTGTCCAGAGAGTCCTCTTGGTTCCGAAAGTCCGTTTCAGGAGGAAAAGTCTCTGACTGTCGATGTGCCGGTTCACACGAATACCGTTAGAAGGAATCCTGTCGCTTCTAACTTTTCAATAACTGCTTTGGTCGCAGCGCTACGTTACTTGTGTAACTTAATTACCGGTTAACTCAGTTAAGAAAAAGACGCTACTAGTGCATTTATCACCGTGGGCAATGGTGTCTACAAAAGCGCGTTGGTTCTTAGTCTTCTGAGACGAGCAGGTTTCTCTTATCATCAGGGTCCTACGGAGCGAAAGTCCTGAACAGTAGGGGTGGGCGGATCGATCCAAATATCGATATTATCGATACTAAGCAAGTACCTGGATCGGATCGATACTGTTGTCCTGGGATCGATACTTCGCTCCTCCACCAATTTCCTCAAAGCACCGATTCTCTGCGCAAATAGCGCAGCCCCCTCTCTCTCTCGCCCAGCGCCCCCTGCTACTCTCTGAGTCTCTGCCTGAGTGAGTGACTCAGGCACACTTTTAGCCCCTCCCCCTACCTGGCCACTGGCCTGCTGCATCCTGCCTGCCAGGAAGAGAGGGCGACGGGAGAGTGAGAGCAGCCGGAACCTAAAGCAATGGCAGAGCCAAACAAGAAGCGGAGCGCGGTGTGGACTTTTTTTACAACAACAGAAAAACACAGTGCCAAGTGTGATTTGTGTAATAAAGTGGTCCGCTACTGTGGTAACACCACGAATTTACACAAACATATGAAAAAAGCTCACCCTACAGAGAGCAACGAGCTGCAAGCAAAGAAGTTGAGGGAGGAGGGGGGGGATCCCCAAGCCAGAACACCCCCGCGGACACAGAGACAATGTACTCTGGCAGATGCTTTTCAGCCAAAAAATCAACAATACCCAGGTCAGGGTTATAAACAAACAAACTTCGCAAAAGTTTTGGTTGTCTGCTTCGCACCAGCTTTTTACGGGTAATTTTAGTACGCAGCAATAATTAAACAAGTTCTCGATGTAACAGAATTGGCATCAAACCATTTTTTTTCCTAATTAGTCAATTAAATTGAAGAATAGCTGCAGCCCTAGTTTTATTGGAACCCAAAAATATAGCTACCCATATAAAGATAGGCTCTATACCTCAAACCTGAAATATGAATATTACTGACTATAATAACTCTTTAGTGTTAACTGTTGAAGGAAAAGTAGCATTCCTATTTAGGCTATTTTCAGATTACAGTTACAGACTTAATCATTTTGTCATTTCACCTAGATAATTCACAAAGAGCCAAGGACATCACAAAGAGTATTGCCATGATGATCGTGAAGGACCTACAACCCCTCTCTGTGGTTGAACAGGAGGGTTTCAAGAATTTAATAAAGACACTTGATCCCCGCTACAGGATGCCAAGTAGGAAATTTTTCATGGGAGAAAAAATACCTTCATTGTATGAAGAGTGTTGTTCTAAAGTTAAAAGGTGTCTGGATGCTGCTCACAGCGTTGTACTGACCACTGACATGACTAAGCATCCACTTATTTATAAAGCAAAGACAGTGGCTCGTTACAATTACGGGCTACCACAGAGTTCTACTGCTGCAAAAAAAATTTTAGTGATAGTGGTTTGTGTTGTCATGGGGGTGGATTGGGGTGTAAGAAAATATTGATACACTGAAATATCTTAATGTATTATTTCACAATAGTGTATTGATATTCTACATCACTGTATCTTTTTTTTATAATTAATAGTTAACATGAAAATATTCTTGGTGTTGGTTCATTTCATTTTTGCTTTTATTCCTTTTGTAGTGATTACAAATGTAGCGCCGATGCTCTTATTTACACTTAAACATCAAGAACATATTTACTATTTACATATTATTACTGTAAACAAAAATAGGCCAGGATTCAATGCAAATGCTTTATCATGTTTTTAGGATTAAGATTAAGATTTCCTTTATTGGACCCACAGTGGAGAAATTGACAGTGTTGACAGCAGCAAAGTACAATATGCGGTATAAAGAGTGAAGTCTAGCATAGTGCTTTACAAATAAGATATCAGCTTGCAATTTTGTAGTTTTCCAGTTTACAGGTATAGTTACTTTGAGATATTGCAATTGAGATAATAAATCAATTAATTATAGAAGATAATAATACAGAGAAACAAAGACTGTACATAATGACAGTCAAACAATTTGACATGTTACGATTTTTACCATTATACTTAAATAAACAGGTGAGTGACATTCCACATGAGAATGGACATTTTTGCTATTACACAAGGTAATGCTAGTTATACAGTTATTGCACATATACAGTTTTAGTATGGTGTATTGATGACTACATACCCTGATCACTTCCCTCTGTATCTGTCTCTGGTCTCTCTGTCCTACTGTCACCTCCTTCATCTTGAAAAGGTGATTTCTCACGGCAGCTAGGAGCACACACAGGGAACAAGTGGAGCAAATCCGCTTTCTTCTCGTTCTCCAAACCAGCAGACAGTTGGCAGGTATGTCCATCACTTGATATGGTCACATATGTTTATTATTAAAAAACTATTTCACATGGTGTTTAATGACAACATGAGACACGTGTATCTGTCTTTCTTGCCTGCAGTATGTGGTTTATAGACCTGGCAGGAAGTGAAAGGGCATCAGACACCAAAAAAACAAACAGACACAGTCGCATAGAAGGAGCTGAGATCAACCAAAGTCTCTTAGCAGTAAGCTAAGTAAGTGATATGTTAACACACACAAAGAGCTCAAATACAGAAACAAAGGTCATTGTATTTACCTTTTATTTGTTTAAAGCTCAAAGAATTGTAGGTGCAATGGGTCGAGTGCTGCTTAGGAGCACTCGGTGTTATCAACCAGTCTCAAATTAATAACACAACCAGTCTCATTAAAGTTATCTTTAATTATTATTTTAACCTACTAATATAGCAATAATGTATTACTTTAAGTATTACAAATATACTAAAATCAATAGTATCCAATAACAATTAAATATCTGAAGGATTTTGAGAGTTCTTGGCAAATTGGGTGGCTTCAATGAATAAAGTAACAACACAGACAAACACAGTTTACAAAAATAATCAAATTTATTTATACAACACTGTCAAGTTAATGACGGTGATTGAACTCATAAACAATGATCATTATAACAAAACAAGGCGTGTGTGTAGGGGTGTGTGTGTACTTATGTGCGTGTGTACACGAGCGGTCGTGTACGAGAGAGAAAGAGAGAGAGAGATGTTGCCTCTCAGCTACCAAGCAAGCGACTGAGCCCTTGAGGCGTGTTCACATACGCGACTGCGCAGTGGAAGAAGAACTGCGAGGTAGAAGGAACGGCAACAGGAAACACGTGAGCCGTGTATGCGCTCACGGAGGTGTGAATGGGTGTTGTGTACGCGCACCAAGATGCGCTCAGGTACAATGAAACAGTGCTTGTGATGTTATCAAAGTATATGGGGGAAGGGAGGCGTACCGCGTGGTCTACTCCAGACAAAGGACTTTGTCGGAGTTTTCCTGATCCCAATACTGATAACGTTCCAAGTTAACACTGAAATACTGACGGTGTACAAGAGTATAACACCGAGTCAGGAGGTTAGAAAAGAAGTGCATGCAACAGCCTAGCTATAAAAGCAGCACAGATTTCAGACAACAAAATTCAATATGCGTACTTAAACTGTTCCTCAGTTTAAATAGCACTTAACAATACTACAGGTTAACTAACGTGCCCAAATGCCAGCCTTACTGTAGTGAACGTCTGCTCGTATTGAGAGGGTAGTGGAAAGTCCGCACTTCTTGGGTCCTTGCCAGAGCTGGGGACGTCCGTCTGGTTCCACTGTGTCCAGAGAGTCCTCTTGGTTCCGAAAGTCCGTTTCGGGAGGAAAAGTCTCTGACTGTCGATGTGCCGGTTCACACGAATACCGTTAGAAGGAATCCTGTCGCTTCTAAACTTTTCAATAACTGCTTTGGTCGCAGCGCTACGTTACTTGTGTAACTTAATTACCGGTTAACTCAGTTAAGAAAAAGACGCTACTAGTGCATTTATCACCGTGGGCAATGGTGTCTACAAAAGCGCGTTGGTTCTTAGTCTTCTGAGACGAGCAGGTTTCTCTTATCATCAGGGTCCTACGGAGCGAAAGTCCTGAACAGTAGGGGTGGGCGGATCGATCCAAATATCGATATTATCGATACTAAGCAAGTACCTGGATCGGATCGATACTGTTGTCCTGGGATCGATACTTCGCTCCTCCACCAATTTCCTCAAAGCACCGATTCTCTGCGCAAATAGCGCAGCCCCCTCTCTCTCTCGCCCAGCGCCCCCTGCTACTCTCTGAGTCTCTGCCTGAGTGAGTGACTCAGGCACACTTTTAGCCCCTCCCCCTACCTGGCCACTGGCCTGCTGCATCCTGCCTGCCAGGAAGAGAGGGCGACGGGAGAGTGAGAGCAGCCGGAACCTAAAGCAATGGCAGAGCCAAACAAGAAGCGGAGCGCGGTGTGGACTTTTTTTACAACAACAGAAAAACACAGTGCCAAGTGTGATTTGTGTAATAAAGTGGTCCGCTACTGTGGTAACACCACGAATTTACACAAACATATGAAAAAAGCTCACCCTACAGAGAGCAACGAGCGGCAAGCAAAGAAGTTGAGGGAGGAGGGGGGGGATCCCCAAGCCAGAACACCCCCGCGGACACAGAGACAATGTACTCTGGCAGATGCTTTTCAGCCAAAAAATCAACAATACCCAGGTCAGGGTTATAAACAAACAAACTTCGCAAAAGTTTTGGTTGTCTGCTTCGCACCAGCTTTTTACGGGTAATTTTAGTACGCAGCAATAATTAAACAAGTTCTCGATGTAACAGAATTGGCATCAAACCATTTTTTTTCCTAATTAGTCAATTAAATTGAAGAATAGCTGCAGCCCTAGTTTTATTGGAACCCAAAAATATAGCTACCCATATAAAGATAGGCTCTATACCTCAAACCTGAAATATGAATATTACTGACTATAATAACTCTTTAGTGTTAACTGTTGAAGGAAAAGTAGCATTCCTATTTAGGCTATTTTCAGATTACAGTTACAGACTTAATCATTTTGTCATTTCACCTAGATAATTCACAAAGAGCCAAGGACATCACAAAGAGTATTGCCATGATGATCGTGAAGGACCTACAACCCCTCTCTGTGGTTGAACAGGAGGGTTTCAAGAATTTAATAAAGACACTTGATCCCCGCTACAGGATGCCAAGTAGGAAATTTTTCATGGGAGAAAAAATACCTTCATTGTATGAAGAGTGTTGTTCTAAAGTTAAAAGGTGTCTGGATGCTGCTCACAGCGTTGTACTGACCACTGACATGACTAAGCATCCACTTATTTATAAAGCAAAGACAGTGGCTCGTTACAATTACGGGCTACCACAGAGTTCTACTGCTGCAAAAAAAATTTTAGTGATAGTGGTTTGTGTTGTCATGGGGGTGGATTGGGGTGTAAGAAAATATTGATACACTGAAATATCTTAATGTATTATTTCACAATAGTGTATTGATATTCTACATCACTGTATCTTTTTTTTATAATTAATAGTTAACATGAAAATATTCTTGGTGTTGGTTCATTTCATTTTTGCTTTTATTCCTTTTGTAGTGATTACAAATGTAGCGCCGATGCTCTTATTTACACTTAAACATCAAGAACATATTTACTATTTACATATTATTACTGTAAACAAAAATAGGCCAGGATTCAATGCAAATGCTTTATCATGTTTTTAGGATTAAGATTAAGATTTCCTTTATTGGACCCACAGTGGAGAAATTGACAGTGTTGACAGCAGCAAAGTACAATATGCGGTATAAAGAGTGAAGTCTAGCATAGTGCTTTACAAATAAGATATCAGCTTGCAATTTTGTAGTTTTCCAGTTTACAGGTATAGTTACTTTGAGATATTGCAATTGAGATAATAAATCAATTAATTATAGAAGATAATAATACAGAGAAACAAAGACTGTACATAATGACAGTCAAACAATTTGACATGTTACGATTTTTACCATTATACTTAAATAAACAGGTGAGTGACATTCCACATGAGAATGGACATTTTTGCTATTACACAAGGTAATGCTAGTTATACAGTTATTGCACATATACAGTTTTAGTATGGTGTATTGATGACTACATACCCTGATCACTTCCCTCTGTATCTGTCTCTGGTCTCTCTGTCCTACTGTCACCTCCTTCATCTTGAAAAGGTGATTTCTCACGGCAGCTAGGAGCACACACAGGGAACAAGTGGAGCAAATCCGCTTTCTTCTCGTTCTCCAAACCAGCAGACAGTTGGCAGGTATGTCCATCACTTGATATGGTCACATATGTTTATTATTAAAAAACTATTTCACATGGTGTTTAATGACAACATGAGACACGTGTATCTGTCTTTCTTGCCTGCAGTATGTGGTTTATAGACCTGGCAGGAAGTGAAAGGGCATCAGACACCAAAAAAACAAACAGACACAGTCGCATAGAAGGAGCTGAGATCAACCAAAGTCTCTTAGCAGTAAGCTAAGTAAGTGATATGTTAACACACACAAAGAGCTCAAATACAGAAACAAAGGTCATTGTATTTACCTTTTATTTGTTTAAAGCTCAAAGAATTGTAGGTGCAATGGGTCGAGTGCTGCTTAGGAGCACTCGGTGTTATCAACCAGTCTCAAATTAATAACACAACCAGTCTCATTAAAGTTATCTTTAATTATTATTTTAACCTACTAATATAGCAATAATGTATTACTTTAAGTATTACAAATATACTAAAATCAATAGTATCCAATAACAATTAAATATCTGAAGGATTTTGAGAGTTCTTGGCAAATTGGGTGGCTTCAATGAATAAAGTAACAACACAGACAAATACAGTTTACAAAAATAATCAAATTTATTTATACAACACTGTCAAGTTAATGACGGTGATTGAACTCATAAACAATGATCATTATAACAAAACAAGGCGTGTGTGTAGGGGTGTGTGTGTACTTATGTGCGTGTGTACACGAGCGGTCGTGTACGAGAGAGAAAGAGAGAGAGAGATGTTGCCTCTCAGCTACCAAGCAAGCGACTGAGCCCTTGAGGCGTGTTCACATACGCGACTGCGCAGTGGAAGAAGAACTGCGAGGTAGAAGGAACGGCAACAGGAAACACGTGAGCCGTGTATGCGCTCACGGAGGTGTGAATGGGTGTTGTGTACGCGCACCAAGATGCGCTCAGGTACAATGAAACAGTGCTTGTGATGTTATCAAAGTATATGGGGGAAGGGAGGCGTACCGCGTGGTCTACTCCAGACAAAGGACTTTGTCGGAGTTTTCCTGATCCCAATACTGATAACGTTCCAAGTTAACACTGAAATACTGACGGTGTACAAGAGTATAACACCGAGTCAGGAGGTTAGAAAAGAAGTGCATGCAACAGCCTAGCTATAAAAGCAGCACAGATTTCAGACAACAAAATTCAATATGCGTACTTAAACTGTTCCTCAGTTTAAATAGCACTTAACAATACTACAGGTTAACTAACGTGCCCAAATGCCAGCCTTACTGTAGTGAACGTCTGCTCGTATTGAGAGGGTAGTGGAAAGTCCGCACTTCTTGGGTCCTTGCCAGAGCTGGGGACGTCCGTCTGGTTCCACTGTGTCCAGAGAGTCCTCTTGGTTCCGAAAGTCCGTTTCGGGAGGAAAAGTCTCTGACTGTCGATGTGCCGGTTCACACGAATACCGTTAGAAGGAATCCTGTCGCTTCTAAACTTTTCAATAACTGCTTTGGTCGCAGCGCTACGTTACTTGTGTAACTTAATTACCGGTTAACTCAGTTAAGAAAAAGACGCTACTAGTGCATTTATCACCGTGGGCAATGGTGTCTACAAAAGCGCGTTGGTTCTTAGTCTTCTGAGACGAGCAGGTTTCTCTTATCATCAGGGTCCTACGGAGCGAAAGTCCTGAACAGTAGGGGTGGGCGGATCGATCCAAATATCGATATTATCGATACTAAGCAAGTACCTGGATCGGATCGATACTGTTGTCCTGGGATCGATACTTCGCTCCTCCACCAATTTCCTCAAAGCACCGATTCTCTGCGCAAATAGCGCAGCCCCCTCTCTCTCTCGCCCAGCGCCCCCTGCTACTCTCTGAGTCTCTGCCTGAGTGAGTGACTCAGGCACACTTTTAGCCCCTCCCCCTACCTGGCCACTGGCCTGCTGCATCCTGCCTGCCAGGAAGAGAGGGCGACGGGAGAGTGAGAGCAGCCGGAACCTAAAGCAATGGCAGAGCCAAACAAGAAGCGGAGCGCGGTGTGGACTTTTTTTACAACAACAGAAAAACACAGTGCCAAGTGTGATTTGTGTAATAAAGTGGTCCGCTACTGTGGTAACACCACGAATTTACACAAACATATGAAAAAAGCTCACCCTACAGAGAGCAACGAGCGGCAAGCAAAGAAGTTGAGGGAGGAGGGGGGGGATCCCCAAGCCAGAACACCCCCGCGGACACAGAGACAATGTACTCTGGCAGATGCTTTTCAGCCAAAAAATCAACAATACCCAGGTCAGGGTTATAAACAAACAAACTTCGCAAAAGTTTTGGTTGTCTGCTTCGCACCAGCTTTTTACGGGTAATTTTAGTACGCAGCAATAATTAAACAAGTTCTCGATGTAACAGAATTGGCATCAAACCATTTTTTTTCCTAATTAGTCAATTAAATTGAAGAATAGCTGCAGCCCTAGTTTTATTGGAACCCAAAAATATAGCTACCCATATAAAGATAGGCTCTATACCTCAAACCTGAAATATGAATATTACTGACTATAATAACTCTTTAGTGTTAACTGTTGAAGGAAAAGTAGCATTCCTATTTAGGCTATTTTCAGATTACAGTTACAGACTTAATCATTTTGTCATTTCACCTAGATAATTCACAAAGAGCCAAGGACATCACAAAGAGTATTGCCATGATGATCGTGAAGGACCTACAACCCCTCTCTGTGGTTGAACAGGAGGGTTTCAAGAATTTAATAAAGACACTTGATCCCCGCTGAGAGCGAAATTGGGACTGGCCCCCCAATTTAAAGGTTGCGGAGGTTACTGATCGTGAAGTATGTGGATTTACCGGAAGCAGTGGAATTATGGGAGTTCGAGTCCTTGAAAGGACTGTTGTAGTACCTACAGAATATATCCGGTCCTTGGATCAAGAACAATCACACACACCTTTCAGACAACGCAAACTCACTCAGGTAACAACACAAATGACTGGTTTCATGTAAGAGCTCAAATTTAAACAAATTCCCAGGTGTTTTCATGCTGCTTTATTTTTGTTATTGTTCTAGGTTTTAAAAGACTCATTTGTTGGTGATTCAATGACATGCATGATTGCCAGCATTTCTCCTGGCCATTTCACAACAGAGCACGCACTAAACACACTGAGATATGCTGACCGGTGAGTGTTTCGGTAATGTGCTTTGCTTCATTTTATTTTGCGGCTTGTGTCCACAGCTGAATTGTGCCTTATGTTTTTTTATATGTTTCACAGTGTGAAGGAATTGACAGGACAAGGAGGCCTAAGAAGAAGATTAAAAGGGAAAAAGCTCAACTCTGCAGGGCATCACTTATACAAGAGCAACAGCAGCAACTCAAGCAACTTTGGCATGCATGGAAATAGTCCATCCAAAAAACAGAGACTGGGAAGTAAAAGAGAACCTTTTACTCCTGCCTCATCTAACAGGAGGTCATTCACAAGGGACACAAATCTCTGCTCCACACCTAAGAACAGCAGACAGGGAACAAGTGCAATGAACCAAAAAGGTTGGACTTGAAAATATAACTCCAATTAGAGGAACTGAAACTGTTGATATGAGAAGCAGGATGGAAGAAGGTGGTGAGAAAAAGGGTAGGAGAAGAAATAATGAAAGGTGTAAAGGAAGTGACCAAAATGACAATGACCGAGCAGAAGCTTCCACTGTGGGATGTACAGAGATGTTTACCTCAAAGAGAATCTGTTAAAGAAAGAGAGACTAATCAAAACAATGAAAACAAAGGAAGAAAAAAGGAAATGTGCTGTGCAAAACAGCAAACACAGGTGGACAAGAATACTGAGAGAGAAGGAATTTTTCATGTTTGATGAAAGGAACAAAGAACGGCAGAGACATCTCAGATGGTACCACCAGCAACTGCAGCAGTTTATGCCCAAATCTCATCCTCAGTAAATGTATTGTCACTCTCTTCCTGTCCATCATTTTCTTCCTCTTATCCAGCCTCCATTTGTTCGTATCCTCCTCCATCTGTCACTTCTGTTCAGCAACACGATTCCCCGCTTTCTGTTTCGGATCTCATGAATGTGGGTTTGGAAAATATTTTGGATGTTTACAGAAATGAGGCCGACAGCCCTAGTGGACAACTGTCTTTTCCAGTCAGTGGGATAAATTTGCAATCTGAATTATCTTTAAGTTGGACAAAAAGCGACAGCCATGGTGAAGGAAGGGAGGCACAAAATATAGATGAAAGGGAGACATAGAGGCCATCTGAGGAAACAGCTGAGTCACAGGTGAAACGCCAGCTAGTGTAGCTACGCAAATGTTGTACAGTTTTCATTCTGGAAACAGAAGAGAGGAGAGTAGAGGAGGATTGATTCTCACAGATGACACAGCAGAGGGTGGAGGAAGACATTCTCCTTTTAAGTCCCCCTGTGAGCGAGCTCCTGCAGAGCGACCACTGTCACCAGGCTGTGAACCCGCCAACGCAAAACACACACAACCAGGTCCCTGCTAAATCAAAAGAGAGCGGGCAAATTTCCAAGGGTCAAAGCCAGTTTATCGGTGCCACCTCAGGATGAGACCAACTTAGATTCTGTCAGCTACACCATGGACCCTCTCAGCATCTCTTTGTTTGAAGTTTCTTGAAGATTCTTGCTGTGCTGTGCGAGGTGTCTTCAGGCAAGGAGTGGAAACAGCCGGTAGATGGTCGATTTGTTTTATTGACAAACGTCAAGCAAAACAGGTCCAATAATAAAGCGAAATAAACGACTGGAGAAGTATTCAAGGAAATCTCATACAACAGTAGTTAATACGCAAATCCTGTCAAGAATAACTTCTGACTTCTCAAGTCTTCTCAAGAATAACTTCTAAAGTATCGTTAGTTGTTTATGCTTATATACCTGTGTGGGGGGAGTGGTTTTCGACTTCCCGGGTGTGTGTTTAAATCTTGTAGCCCAGTGGAAGAGAGGCTAGGCCTCTTGTGGCCAATCATATTATTGTTCTTGTATCATGTGATGCCTGCAGTCGCCACTATGTGGCACTCTTGTTCCATGATTCAGCAGTGTTGGAAGAACCTTTTGTTGCTGAGTGGGGGGTTATCACAAGGGAGTTAGACGGAGCCATAAAGTCCAGTCAACCACAGGTGGTCATGTAGATCAAAAGGAATGGATGGCTCCAGGGTTCCCTGTTAGAAGGTAGATTGGGAGATCTCCCATTGTTATGTGAAGATCTCCCATTGTTTCCAGAGAGTAGAGGTGTTCTTAGAGAATTGGTGTGAAGAGAATTTGGGGAAATTTTCTTTGAATGTGTGGGGCTATGTGACTGTGTGTGCTCAGGAAAGCCTTTTGGTGTCTTAGCACCTTCCTGCTGCAGACCCAACCAAATGTGAAAAACCACTGAAATCTAAC